CACGTTGCTTCCTCTGCGAATCCGTACATGTATCACGTGATGTGTCCACGGGGATTGTGGCTATTGGTTGTTGTCGATATCATAGTACCCACTTCTTTACGACCTTAAAGATGAAATCTTCTGAAAATGTCCTAAAGAAGACAAATGGAGAAACTGTGGACCCCCACCATGAGCGGCCGCCGCCCCTCCTCTTACCTGACTGTTTCACACGTGGACCCATATGCGACAATTAAAAAATGAAAAAGATTACCGGCATGAATCTTATCCATGAAATTTTTGAGCGGCCGCCGCGCCTTCTCTCTCTCTCTCTCTCTCCTAAATAATTTAGCCCCAGATGTACGATTTATGATAGATTTTTATTGCATGGAAGATCAAGTCAAACGTCTTGAATTGGTTTTAAAAAATTGAAACAATTGCATTGGAGAATTCTTGATTAGATATTAGTTATGGTCTGGTTTCAAAGTGTAGGCAAAATTCAAACAAATTTTTTTATTTTTCTATTTTTCCACATTATGATAAATACTATCTCAAATTAATTTGAGTCAGTCAAATTGTATCTTTTTCCAAATATATCAAGGACCATTCTTTACAGCAATTACGGATATATAAAGATAGAATTTGAATATTTTAAATTGTAAAAAATGCCACTATCTATATGTGATATATATATATATATATATTAGTGTGAATCTTTTATCAATTAACCATTTGTTGTTTTCTTTTGAGAATTAATCAACATTTATTGCTTCATACTCTTTGTATAAGATTTGTACGTATCTTATGATGGTCAAAATTCATGGTATTTTTGTGTTTTGAATTAAACTTCTTTTTTTTTTAACCATATTATAAATTTCACCATATGGCTTATGATTTTTAAAACTACAGATTGAAAATGCATATAAAAGGAGCTCAAATATTTAACGCTTCAGTTCAATTTCCTTATTAATCATCGCTCAATGTTCTTAGGGCTACTACTGGTTAATTGCCCTACCAACTCATTGTATCGTTAAGTAATAACTAATTATATTTGATGATATATGGAATTTAGGCTATTCCACAAAATCCTTTAAATCTAGACTCTCGCATTATCATGATTTTTCTATTGTAAGACCACATAACCACTTAATCCAATACTCTAAATATATATCTAATAACTATTATTTTAATTATACTATAAATATATAGGCTATTCGTTTCATAGAAACAAATCAAACAAGTTCGAAATACAATTTTTAAAGAACAAAAAAAACATTGAGACAAACTCACTCTCTAAAAAATACAAAACCATATAATGAAAAATATCATACAACATATGTAAAACATTGATTTAACTACCAAAATAGTTTTGTTGGACACTCTCTATGCATGCAGAACCAAAAAAGATACTTCACTATTATTCACATCCTCTCAAAAAGATTGGATAACGAGCTTAACAAATTTAGATGCCAAAAAGCTCGAGCATCACCAATGTTGGTATACCTTACATAATTAAGTTAGCAGCTTTGATAGGTAAAACCGAATGGCTTAGTCTCCTTGGTAAATTCCTTTCATCCCTATATTTTCTACTATTTGTTTACTTGGTGAATGGTTCTTTTCTCCTTAATAAAAAAATTGCCCCTAGGGAATCATTCTTAAAACAATGAATTAAATTAGACAATCGCGTCTAAATGAAGAATTATCACTTGATAATTTTTTCTAAAGTGATAAATTAAATTAGACAATCATGCCTAAAATAGATAAATTATGGCTAGACAATTCTTTCTAAAACGATGAACTAAATTAGGTCACCCTACCTAAAATTGAAAAAAAAAATTATCGCAAGACAACATTGCCTAAAAACATGAACTAAATTAAAAACTCAGCCTCAAATTAAAAAAAAAAAATTATTACTAAGCAACTCTACTTAAAAATAATAAATTAAATTAGAGAACTCGCCTTAAATGAAGAATTATAGCTTGGCAACTCTATCTAAAATGATGAATTAAATTAAACAATCTTGCCTAAGATAGAGAAATTATCACTAGACAACCCTATCTAAAACGATGAACTAAATTAGACTATCATGCTTAAAATGAAATTAGCCACTCTACCTAAAATGAAAGAAATTATCGTTAGGTTTGAACTAGAACAAAACCTAAGGTTTTTAGGTTTCCAAATTAACAAGAAATTAGGGGTTTTTGGAAGGTGGCTCAATTGGGCTTAAATCTACTTGATTTCAAAGGAAATCAAGCCATTTATGGGGAAAAAATGGAGGGGGGGGACGATGACGAAACTCAATGGGGTAAGCTTCAGCTTTCAACTGAAGCGAGTTTCAAGAAAGAGAAGGAAAGAGGGAATGAGAGAAAGGCAGAAGGAGATTGATGGGAGGAGAGAATCAAGAAGAGAGATAAGTTGTGAAGGAAAATTGAATGAGAGAGAGAACGAACAATAGATGATGTCTCTAGTTCGTTCTTTGAAGAATAAGAGGAGAAGAGAGGAGAGTGAGATTGAGATTAGGAGCATAAAGAGAGAGAGAAGGGTGTTTGATCCAAAATAATTTTGAAGAAGCTTTGTTTTGGTGTTTTAGGCCTTAAGGGCCAACCGAAAGGAACCATGGGTCGGGCTAAGCCGAACCTTATGTATTGGGTTGAAAGAAAAAAAATAAGAAGAGGAGAATTTCGATCCATATCTTTATTTACTAATACATTTTGATCTCTAAGTATAGAGAGGAGGAAAGAAAGAAGAGAGAGCACCGGCCAACCTTATTTAGGCTAGCTTGACCTACAAAACTCAATTAGATTTTTTTATCTTTAAGAGATGAGTTTGTTCATAATAGTTTTATGCCATTAAATAATTGAAGAATGTAGATCGGAGTCAAAAAAGAAAAAAAATTGATTTGATGATGTATTTTTTTTAATGTGCATTAAAATAATTTTTAAGGCCTTAAAAGTATTTATTGACTTTATTTCGATCATTTAGAGGTGTATAGGAGAAAAAATAATGTCAAAATTGAGTTTCTTAGAGTTTGAAAATTGACTTTCTATTTTTCGACGAAGCTTCCGGCAAGCTTGAGCTCGTCAAAAGTTATAGGTTTTTCTTTTTTTCCTTTTAGGTCGGTCCGTCGCAAATGCCTAACTTTTTTTTTTCTTTGGGCCGGCCAGTCGAAGCTTGGAGTGGAGAAGCAGGCTGAAACGACCTCGGCGCATAAGCCCGGATCACAAGCCCACCCACATTGAGCTAGCCTAGCTACACACGCTTGACCTTTTTTCATTTTTTTTTGTTTTTTCTTCCAATAATTAATTTATTTTTATATTTTTTATCATGAAATTAGGCGTGAAAATATAGAAAATAGATCGTTATTTTTTTATTTTTACGTATAGTTTGATGTAATAGAATATATATGATATTTTTTAATATTTTAGTTTGAATATATATATCCGATTATATTATTCTTATTATTTAAAATTTACTTCTTCAATTGTTTGTTTCTTATTAAAATTCTCATCCAATCAATTTTTTTTAATTTTTTGATATAATTTTATTTTTTTATAAATGGATTTTGAAATAAAATTTTTAGAACGTGATTTTTTTATTTTTTAAATATATTATTATAATTTATACGATTGATTATTTTATGATTTTTAAATGAGAGTAGCTTAGTTGCATGTATAAATTCCGATGAGAGAGACTAAGCTAAAAATGTGTTTTAGATAATTCGACTCAATTTTTTTAAAAAATAATAATTAGTTAAAAAAGAATTTGAAAATTTTATTTTCTTATATATATATTTGAAATTAATTATATATTTGCATAGATAACATCAATTATTTGTTATTTATTTTTTTTCATGTTCTAAAATCTATATTTTTAAATAAAATAATTTAATTAATGTTTTGAAAGAATCTCCTAATCATTCAAATATAAATTTATATATAAATCAAATAATTTTACTCAATATGTAGATTCGATTTACATTAATCATCAAAAATAAAACTTTTACTCACAACACACGATACGAATTACTAACCCTACATATACGACGTTTATCCGACCGCAACATAGCGCGGATATCTAACTAATAAGTTCTCAAATTATTATGATAATTATTACGATGCTTGCAAAAGGATTGGTGATGATTTATTTATTTTTTCTTAATTTAATTTTTGATATATATATATATATATCCTGTTTAATATTTATTTGTGATAAAATTAAATAATTTTTTAAAGTAGAAACAATTATATAATTGTTTAAAAATATTGAAGTACAATTGTACTTTGTTAAATTTTGAAGAATTTTAACTCGTAAAAAACTTTAAAGATATATTAACCATTTTTTTTTAAAATTTGCAAATTCAATTCTAAAAAATTTTGGGTGTGTTTTCATGAATTCTAGCCATGTCTATACTACACATTCCAATCGTGTCCTCCACATATCCCTTTTTTTTTTTTTTTGCAATTGTTTTTTATACTTCCACGTATTTGATATGTATTGGATCACATCCAACACCAAATCAGATCCATATTCAATGCTTGACCAATACTGATACAAATACATTTTTAAAGTATACATGGTTCCTAACAGCCAAATGATTATTCAGGGCATGCATCAAACGTTCGACATGGAAACGGCAAGCGTTTTAGCAAAGATAAATACACTCTAAAACTTAAAAGAAAAACGTTTGAAAAAACTAGAGGTCCTAGAACGCGATGTAACAGAAAACAGAAGGAAAATAAAATAAAATTACATATATATATATATATACCACTTTAAGAAAAATATCGGACGGTGGATGTCCACGTGACGACAACCCGAATCCCGACATGTACCCCGTCAACACGGAATTACTCTCGCTGGTTCCCACCTCCCTCTCCCATGGACCCCGCCTCTTGCCTCTTGATTCGGTCTCTCTCTCTCTCTCTATCTCTATCTCTATCTCTCCTATCATCAAACCAAACAAAACAGTGGTTTTGCCGTCGGTGCCGCCTGCAATAATAATTTAAGCCCCACCAACAAAAACAATGAAACAATATGCACGTAACGCGTACACACCCACATTGGCCCCACTTAAGCATCATTATCCAGCCGTTGGATGTTTTAAAGACACTCTCGAGATCTGTACCGAAAATGACAAACAAGAACACGAATCACGAGGAGCATTTTTAGAGAGAAGTAAGAAAGACATGACCGTGTTTCTCGTCATGAGGCTGCTGTGTCTTATTTTTCTATTTTTTTTAATTAATAAAGAAACACTAACAAGGTAATCAAAGGTAGCTTAGTTTTAGTGCGGTTTCCGTACGGCGGAGTGGGTCCACGTGTGAGGTAAACGGTCAGATCTCTAACATACGCCATTTATAGCGCGACGCTTGCTCATCAAAATCAACCCCCACCTATCGTGCCGGCGACATGTCTGTTGGACACTTGGAGACTACATACACATTCCAATATTCAGCCAGCCAGCAAATCGATTAATAGTACTACTTGTAATTATTAATAATATGAGACTTTCGCTGTAGGTGCATGCCCCTTCTCATCCTGTGTTTTTTTTCCTAGTCAATGCAGCATCTGTTTTTAGTTTGAAGCATGGATAACATCAAAGAGTAGCGCGATTAAAAACTTGATTTAATTTTAGGAAATTACCATAACTTCGACCACCTTACAGCCCAAAAATTTAAAAGCGTAATTTCATAGTACTAAGGGTTTTTTTTTTTTTTTTAAAAAAAGTTATTCTCAATCATTAGGAAAGAAATATAGTGCTTTATTATGTTTCTTTCTGCACCTGGCCATTGACACCTAACAGGTAGAACTGGATCCCCAAGGACAGATATCTCAAAACAAACCAGTTAATATCTTCCATCTATTTAAGACGCGTCAGTTAAAGAACAAAAAATCCTCATTAACCCTTATTGCCTAAAAATGAAAATTCCAACCGTCTGGGAAAGAAAGAATTCAACTTTTACTAGATCAATCCGTTACCAATTACCGTAATTTGACCCACAGCCTTTTGGTGCTGGTTCCTGGTAACCAAACATAGATATAACAAGAACCAAACTTGCAACCATAAACAGTAATATCGATAAGGAGCCAGGTAAATTTTTTAATTGTGATTTGATTTTGATTAAGAACATATATGACCTAACAATAGTAGTAAGAACAACGTTCAAGAAACTCTTCAGGTTTCTCAGTTGCAAAAAAGAACAATTTTTTAGAACGCCTTCGTCATCTCTCTCTATATACAACATATGTCAGCTGCTTCTCTTCTTCACTTAATTAGCTCTAAATCTTTTCTCATTTCCTGCCGTACACAGGACCTTACAGAAGAAAACAAACAAACTCTGAAGCCATATAACGACTTCAAAATCAGATCTCTCCATTAAAAAACCACGAAATCATGCAACTTCCGGTGGTGGGGGCAGGTTAAGATCAAGATCAAGGGATAATCCCTTGTCATCGTTATGATGATCATAATCAAGGACTGATGATGAATCCGAATCACTATGAACCCCACCTCCATTCACCATCACCGTCCGATCAAACCTGCACAAGTTAATGTTATTATTCACTATACTATTGTTGTTGTTGTTATTCTTCGCCTGAGCAAACGCGTCAAAAAAGAAAACAGGGCGGGCAGCGGTAGGGAGTGGGAACCACGCGCCGCCGGAGAAACTAGCCCCATTAGGGAACTGATAGCGGCCGGTACTATGGTGTGCAATGTTAAGAGTGAGATCGAGCGGTGGTGGCGGAGAAGCAGCACGTGGGGGTGTTGGGGAGGAGGACTCGACAGTGCTGCTTTGGCTAGGACTGCGGGTGGGGGTTGGATTTAGCTCGCCAATTGTAGGAAAATTAGTTTTGGCTTTGGCTCCGCGAAATTCACGAGCAGCTGCATCATATGCACGCGCCGCCTCTTCCGCAGTATCGAAAGTGCCAAGCCATACCCTCGTTTTCTTGCCGGGGTCTCTGATCTCAGCTGCATAACGTCCCCATGGTCTCTTTCTAACGCCTCTGAAACGGATCTCTGATCTAGGGCTATTTGGGTTGTTGTTGTTGATGATGTTGTTGGGTCTTTCTCTACGAGCCATTGTTATTCTGAGGATACCCTGTTATTTATTTTATTTCCCTTTTTTGGGGTTTGTTTGTTGATATGGTTGCGAGGTTGGGGATGGAGAAGAGTCGGGGGGAACTGGTTCATATATATAGGGAGAAGAAGAGAGGAGGAGAGAGAAAGGCATGCTGCTTTTGGGGGCGATTTGTTTGCGTTTTGCGTGTACAGTCAAAGATCGGATATGTGAGTTCTCTTACACGAACCACTTAAGTCAGTTTATGGGCTAATGAAATGTCGACACGCTAGGTTGTACAAGAATGATATACTGCGTACGTTTATAAAGGAAAAGAAATCCTGAAAAATTCATAATTAAATGTTTTGTTTTAGGATTGTAATGAGGGAGTAATGGGACTACCATGTGCTACTCATTGAGTGGCTAATAAAAGCGTTGTCGTAACTAATAAAGAAAGGTTATTCATATTCATTACTATGGTCAAATACCTTATATAGAGGTTCAGTAATTACAAGATTTTGTTTCTTTTTTTCTAATAAGGTTTCATAAATACAAAATCTGAATCCTTATGGACCAGCATGCCCAACGATATATGGTACTGTTTATGAGAAAATATCATCATTTGATATAACTACATCAAACATTGTGTTTTTAGTGATTTTTTTTTCTTTTTTATAAATTTATTCCTATCATACAAATAGTAGGCACAATTTAACAATTATATAACCAATGTTTTCTTTCAATAAAACGGTTTTTGAAAAATTAAAAGATTAAAATTTATTAATTATATTGTGCACATAATGTTCAACAATGATACAAGAAATTCTATCATTTTAATAAAATACTCTATCCATCTATGCCGAAAAGATTGTCTATGTTTTTATTTATCCATCCCAAAATATTTTTTTTATTCAAAACTTTAATTGGTATACTTTTCTAAAACATCATTAATTAAAGTCTATTTTATAAAAAAAATTCCCAAATACATTTTAAACAAAAAGTATTTTAGATAAATAAAAACAAAAGATGTTGACATGTCCTAAATAAAAAAAGTACAATCTATTTAGAACAAAAGGAGTAAAAGGTACTACATATTCATCCACGTAGCATTGCGTTTGCACTTTAGCAAGGTGAAATTAAGGGTAAGCTGAATTTGATTTAAACTAAAAAAACCAAATCGAACCGATCAATTTTGGTTCGGCTTTTCACTCGTTAGAAAAAAAGAACCACGTTTTTCACTCATTAAAAGAAAAGGAACCAAAGTAATTTCAGCGAAATTTTTTTTATTTAACAACTTTTATATTTTGAATTTTAGTAATTCAGTTTATAGCATGCTTAAACAATTAGTATTTTCTGTCATTATATATATTTAGACATGAATTAATAGATTTTTGTTTAAATTTTAATATCTTATTAAGTAGTACAGTTTTGAGTTTTAGTTTTATTTAAACAAATATATATTATCTTTCATATAGGCTAATTTCGACCATTTGGAAAAAAAAAAAAAAAAAACTACATTTTTCATAACATAATTTTTGACCAATTTACATTATTAAAAAAAATAAAAAATTTTGAAAAAAAATCTTAAGAAGAAATCGACTTCAACTGAAAAACTGAACTAAAAAACCTAATGATTTTTTTTTACTTTAGTCTTATTTAAATAAATATTTATTATTTTTTATATAGGTTAACTTCGATCATTTGGACTAAAAGAAGGATTCATGGTCCATAACACTTTTTTTTAACTCATTTACATTATTTTTTAAATCATAAAAAGAAAATTGGCTTCAACTAAAAAACCGAACCAAAAATAAAAAAACCAAATGCTTTTGTGATTTAGTCTTATTTAAATAAATATTTATTATCTTTTATGTTAGCTAATTTCGACCATTTGGACTAAAAAAAAAAGGACTTCATAGCTCTTTACTCACTTATCTAATTTTAAAAATGAAAAAAATTGTAGAAAAATAAATCGGTTTTAACCAAAAAAAAAATCCAAAAACTTAAAAATCTAATGATTTTGTGCTTTAATATTATTTAGATAAATATTTATTATCTTTTATATAGGTTAATTTTGAACCTTTTAGACTAATGTAAAGACTCCATTGTCCAAACACAATTTTTTTGTACCCATTTAAATTATTTTGAAATTTAAAAATCATAAAAAAAAAATCAATTTTAACAAAAACACCAACGGTTTTGTGCTTTAGTCTTATTTAAACAAATATTTATTATTTTTCATACAAATTAATTTTGACCGTTAGGACTAAAGAGAGAACTTCACAGTTCATAACTCATTTTCTTAATCCATTTACATTATTTTAAAATTTTGAAAAAAAAATCATAAAAAAGTAAATCGGTTTATCCAAAAAAACCAAATCCAAAAACCTAAAAATCAAATGGCTTTGTTTTTTAATCTTATTTAAATAAATATTTGTTATCTTTTATACATGCTAATTTCGACCTTTCTTCATTAGGATAAAAAAAAAACCCTTCATAGTCCATAACATAATTTTTTGACCCATTTATGTTATTTTAAAAAAATTCATAAGAAAAAATAGAACCAAAAAACCAAACCCAAAAACTGAAAAACAAAATGGTTGTGTGTTTTAATTTAAGCAAATAGTTTTGTTTTTTAGTCTATTTAAATAAATATTCATTATCTTTTATATAGGCTAATTTTGAATTTTTGAACTAAAAGAAGGACTCTATAGTTTGACCTATTTATTTTATTTTTTAAAAATAAAACATATGTTTAAAAAAAAACGATTTTAACCAAAAACCAAATCAAAAAAAAAAAAACATAATTTTATGCTTTAGTCTTATTTAAATAAACATTTATTGTCTCTCATATGAGGTAATTTACAATTAAAAAACAAAAAAAGAACTTCATGGTCCATAACACAATTGTTTGGCCCATTTATATTATTTTAATTTTTTTTAAAAAAAAAATCATAAAAAATCCATTTTAACCAAAAACCGATCTCATAAACCAAATTTCGGTTTCAAAAATTTAAAAAACTAATAGTAACTCAGTACGGATTCGTTTTTAGTTTTTCGGTTTTCAGTGGGTTTGGTTAAGCATAAATCAAACCAAAAAACCAAATGTTTCCAAATCATGCTCTCTTAATTAACTGCTATTTTTCAATATTTTATGAAAAATAAAAAGCCTTTTGAGTTATTAATCCATAACATTATAATTATATCAATCGCATACAAAGAATTACCCTAGAAATGAAAATGAAATTTTTTATTAATTATATTGTGCACTACAGATTCAATCACAATACCAGAGAATCCATCATTCTGATAAAATAAAAAGTTGACATATCCTTCCCCAAATGCATCCCAGAAGGAACTGAACTGATCATTAAACAAAAAAAAAGACCTTTCGAAGAGGAGTACATCAACTTGCTAAAAGAATACTTCAATTTGCAGAACTCACTTGCTTTATATTGCAAATACAAAGTGTCCGTGTATCGCAACTCGCGGGTTAACATTCTGATCCAAACTGCAATGAAATCGAGAAAAAGGGTAACACGTGTAGAAGAGTGGGAGGTGTTAACGCGCCACACACGTGGTATTGTGGCTCCCATTATTTTAGTAATTTTATTATTGAGGTAATTGAGTATGGACTGCAGAGGGTTCAGTCAACGAGGTGTTTGACTACTTTGTATGAATAAACAGGCCCCCACCGCCGCCCTTGCAGAAACTTAATAATTAGCACTCGCAATATTTGTTCATTCACTTACGTGTATCCGCTCCTATTTTAAATTCACGTCACCCCTTTCTGCCGCCACATAACCACATCATTCATTCAAATCACGCTAACATCGGCAGCGGTTTAGCAGGCGAAATTCGGCTTCATTTCTTTATTTGATGACTTCCTTCTTCTTTATAATTGCACGGTGGTACGTACCTGACCAGCAAACGATGAGTTACAGCTAAGATTTAAAATTCCATTTTTGTGACGAGTATATTTAAAATACCTTAAGTCGATATTTTAAATCCGGAAAAAAATTAATTTCTATAATTTTTTTAAGATACATGAAATTAATCCGAGAATATATTTATTGATGGAAAGCAAGACAGTTCCTTATGTATTTTTTTTAAAAAAATATTCCTTCGAATCAAGCTAAAATAAATTTTAAACAAAAATATAACAAAAGCTCGAACAACGAGGAAGCTAGCGTCACGTGGCACGCTTAATGCGAGGACATGCGTCTGACCATTAATGCCATCAATTGAAAAAGGGTGGGCTGGCATTGGCGTCTTTCAAACGGCGGTTAAGACGACATAGTATTTGTAAACACTTCGCTTTGCGTGTGGGGCGTGAAGCTTGCCGCCGTTTGTTTGTTTGTTTGATGACCTTCGGTTTCTTTTTTTAGTATCCACAAACGACAAAAATAGTTCAAAATAGATGACGATGACGGCAGCTAAACAACATTTATGTTCTTTGTCGGCATCTTCTTCTTCTCGCTACGTGTCTAGGCTCGGTTCCGAATCTGCGTAGAAGTTCGCTGACCCTAATTTTGCTTTTGAAGCGGTCTAGTTAGATCTAATGGTAGGAGGTGTGGTTATAAATTGCTGCGATTTGAACACGTGTTTGGTTTTTATGGTATAAAAGAGTGGATAAAAATAGGAGTGTACATAGCCGGAGTAGTAGAAGATAAAGTCAGGCGGAAGCTTATCAAGGACAAAGGTTTCCATTTAATCCTACACACACAAGTATTTGTCTGCTATGTGGACACCTCTGTGTTAGATTTTGATTGAAAATGGTCCATAAATCATTTCTCTGTGTGGACGACAAGCCCTTCGACGCACCATCCACGCGTTTTGTACTATTTTTCTTCAATTTTCCCCACATTTAGATTGAAGCAGGAAAGTGATGGCCCGGGCAGGGCAGCCATTCCCCATCATTTGCACTCATCTGTGCTCGTATATGGTTGCATAGACTTTATATGGTTGGATGGGCTAACGCATGTGGCAGGCTGGAAGATCTAGAACTTGATTTGGGACCATGGACCGTGGTCCATGGTCTTGAAGTCAGTGTCAATTAGCTATCCCCAAGCTATGCTAAATTAAGTTGTTTGAAGTTCGGACCGGGCTCATTTTGTTTTATTCACTTAAAAGTTTATAGTCATGAAAAAACACTGTCAATAGATCTATCTATAAATATATTAATCGAGGGACGGTGTTCCGTTGTTATTTTATCGTACATTAGGTGGCACTTTTGTATTTTTATGGCTTTCCTTTTGAGGATATTAATATTTGCCTTTTGGCCAATTTGCATTTTTATCCCTATTTTTTCAATATTTATATTTAGGTTTCCATAATTCATTTTGCATTATATTTTGATCCCAGCTTGTTTTCCTTAAAAAAAAAAAAAAACAGAGAGAGAGAGAAAAAAGAGAGAGAGAAAGTGACTGTTCAACCACTCATAACAGCCAATTATAAAAAAAATAAAAAAAACTGAGAGTGGCAGTATTCATTTAGTTAGTAGTGCCCTTTTTTTTTCCCACACGATTGGCCTTCTGCTGAATCTTTCCTTTACTGTAGCACTGTAGCATTAACCTTTTTTTTTTTTTTTCTTTCTAGAGGACTGGGCTGCTGGAACTTCATTGTAGCTTTTTTTTTTTTTTTTCAGTTTTTAGATGGCAGTGTTTCCACTTTGATATAAATAATTTATTTTTATATTTTTTTTTATCATGAAATTAAGTGTGAAAATATAATTTTTTTTTTTTGTTTTATGTACGGTTTGACGGTAATAGAATATATATGATATTTTTTAAAATTTTAATTTGAACATATATATATCTAATTATATTATTTTTATAATTTAAAATTTATTTCTTTAATTATTTGTTTCTTATTAAAATTCTCATCGAATTAATTTTTAAATTTTATATAATTTTATTTGTTAATAAATTTGATTTTTTTTTATATATGGCTTTTGAAATAAAATTTTAGAATATAATTATTTTATTTTTTTAAATATATAATTATACTTTATAAGATTGATTATTTTTATGATTTTTCAATGAAAATGAGATTATTGCATATATAAATTCTGATGTGTGTGTGTGTGTGAGAGAGAGAGAGAGAGAGAGAGAGAGAGAGAGAGAGAGCTAAAAGTGTGTTTTATATAATTTGATTTAATTTTTTTAAAATAATAATTAGTTAAGAAAATAATTTGGCTTTTTTTAAAAAAAATTAATAATTAGTTAAAAAAAATTCACATGTTTTATTTTATCTAATCAAAATTTATCGAAACCAATTTTATAGTAGTTTTTATGTAAATCTATTTATTCAATATATTTCATGTAATTTAAGTGGGTTTTTTTATATTTTTTTTTACATACTGCGAGTCTTATATATATATATATATATATATATATATATATATAGTTTTGTCATATATAAATTCGGCGAAGGAGAGAGACGAGAGAGCTAAAAGTGTGTTTTAGATAATTTGACTTAATTTTTTAAAAAATAATAATCGGTTAAAAAATATTCAACTCAACTTTTTTTAAAAAATAAGAATTAGTTAAAAAAATTCACAGGTTTTTTTTTTTGTTATATATATACATATATAGTTTTGTTAGAAATTAATTATATCTCGCACATAAAACATCAATTATTTGTTATTTATTTTTTTATGTTCTAAAATATGTATTTTTAAATAAAATGATAAATTATTTTATTAATAAATATCTATAAATTAAATAAGTTTGTTAAATATATAGATTCAATTTATATTAATCTTCAAAAATAAAATATCTACTCATATCATATCATACAAATTATTAACTTTGTGTATATAATAATTCTTTTACCGTAACATAACATGCGTAACTAGCTGGTTGTTACCAAAAAAACTTAAAAGGTCTGACTTCGAATAAGGAGGCCACTTCTAGTTGGTGTTTAGAAAAAAAAAAAAAAAAAAAGAAATACAAAAATTATGATATAACGGCATTCCTATTACTAGTATTTAAAGGCGACAACATGTCGTTTGGGATGGTTGAGATGACGCTGCCTGATACATACATACATACATATATATATATATATATATATCCTTTTTGAAGACACTGGCCAAGCTTATATATATTAATTTCTTTTTTGAAAGACACTGGCCAAGCTTATCTGGCTTAAACACACATGCACGGACAGGGCATGCCGATCCCTGTACCCTACCCGTAGGGCTAGCGTAACCTAACCCATAAACCTTTAATTTAATTTGTTTTTATTTTTTGGATTCTCCATAATCAATTCTTATTCTTTGCTTTTCTTACACAATCTTAAAATGTTATTTTTCTTGTATTTGAGTGTTTTGCATTCTTTTGATTATATTAATTTTTTTAAAAAAAATTATAATAAAAAAATTGTTGCTAAAAATAAAGGAAATATTGTCCTAAAATTAAGACTCTTAAAATTTCATCTTAAACCTCAGCATTAAAGCTTTATGAAAAAGAATGCGCGCTACACGATCTTAAAATTAAAGAAAAAAATTGTCAGGATTGAAAAATAAGAAATCTTGCAATTGCTTTCGTAATTTTATCCAAACAAATTCAATCCCTGTATGTAAGTAAAAAAAAGTCGCAAAAATCCTAAATAAATAGTAAAATTATCTATATGATCTTTAAAACAAGGAAACAATATTATTATAAAAAATAAATTATATGTAAACTAATTTTAAAATATCTAAAAAAAAATATACGTTTTATAATCCTTAGATTATATATATGTGTGTTGGATGTTCTATTCAAAACATCCAACATATAAATTATATTAAAGTATTTTTAAAAAAGAAAAAAAAACACATTCTAAAGTTTTATTCAAAAAACCATATATAGAGAAAAACAAATCACATTTTTCTTAATGTGCACTCCCCAAGAGCTTCCTTTTCTTTCTGAATGACCATGACAGAGGGATGGGCCATTAATCTAGCTCGAATTTTATCAAGACTTTCCTTAGCATCCTGCACTTTTTTGTTGATATCTCCATAACAAGCAGAGTTTAGGTGCTTTACATGTGGTTTAAGCAATTTGAGAATTTTGCAAACTTTGAATAAAGCAACCCCATCAACTTGAGTTTTCTAGCTCTCTGTAACTACATGATTGAAAGGCGGCAAAGATGGCACTGATATTGTAGTTTGTAGATATCTTGGGAAGTGGTTTGATACCCACAGATTAAAAAATTTAACAGTGCTATGAGGAAATTGAGAAAGCCGAGCACCATTGATTAACATTCTATCTAGCTTCTTGAGGATTGGCTTAACCAACTGCTTATTGAACCAGGCGTGAAAATGGCCAGTGGAAAAGTGGTCCTCAAGCTCACAATCATCAAGGTATCGGTTAAAAGCTTGGATGCTGAAATGCTTCTATCTGAAATTTCTGAATTACCAGTTGATTCTGCTGCCTGCCTAATGATCTTAAAATCCCTAGCAAGAAGCCATGGAGAGCCATTCAAAGTAGAGTTGAGCCTAAGCACTAAGCATTAAACTGGACCGCGACACGGATAAAACATATAAAATTATTTTAAAAAATTATTTCAGTTTAATATTTGGTGCTATATTATAGGTCCATAAAAATATATAAAATTAAAAATTAAAAAAAAATCTCAATTTTATAATATTTTATTCAATATTTTTTTACCTAACTATTTCTTTTTTATTTTTTTTCATAATTTTCTACTTGAAAAATATTAATTCTTCTTTATTCATGGATTCTTAAACAAAAAGAGAATTACAAATTAAAAATTATTCTTTATATATTTATTAAAAAAATAATATTAAAATAAAAAATTATATTTGAATCATTGAGTTAATTATGGAAAAACATAATTTCATATATTTAATTTAAAATAAATTGATTTAAAATATCTATAAATAAATAAATAGTAAAATGCTTAGTGCTATAGTTGCATAGTTGCTTTTGGTAAAAACAAATGATTCAATTTTTTTATATTATAAATATATCAAGTGGGCTTAGAGTCTATGCTGTAAAACAAAAGATATTTAAAAAACTTACTTATAAGAATATATTGAATAGATTTAAAATTTATAGATTAAAATAAAATTGATTAAAAAAATAATTCTTATACATTTTGATATAAAGAAATATTTTCACTTATTTTTTATTTCTTTTCTATATGTTAAAGAAAAAAAAACAAAATAAAAAACAAAATAAATGAAAAAATAGCAAATAAAATTAAATAATCAATTTTTAAAATTATAGAAACCAATTAATTTGTTTATGGAAACCATAGGGACCAATTTATAATTTATTCTTGATAGTAATTCTTCCCTGCAAAAAACAAACAAAGAGAAAAAAAAAAAAAACAATGAATGACAGAGCATTTAATGCTCTGTCAAAGCAAATGATTGCCAAACAAAGGAAATGACCGAAAAAACGCAAGAAGCCAATTAAAAAACAAATCAATTAAGGGTAAATGCGAAATTTCATAATTCCACTAAGTGGGATGACAGAAATTAAGAAGAAAATGGAAGGGCTTTTGTATGCAAAGCAAAGCAAAAAAATAAATAAAAATCCGGATGAAAAGGGAAAAAAAGAAAGATAAAACAGTCTAAAAACAGTGAAATGTCGGATCCAATGTAATACATTGTAATTTGATAATTTCGGATCTAATGTATTAAATTACGTAATTTGAATTCTAAAATATTTGAGATTAAACAAATATGATTCAAATTGTCAAATCTTCGTTATTTGTTATGATCAACTGTTAGTTGATCGTTACTTTTTTTTAAAAAAAAAATGAAAAACTTTGTTGATAGAGTAATTGAAAACGAGAGAGAGACAGAGACATGGAGAGAAGGGGAGAGAAATGAGAAGAAGTTTTTAATTTTAAAATCGAATCCGAGTGCCTAATTGATAACGAGATTGTGAGTCTTATTAGGGTTCATGAGATAGTCTCTTAAGGATTAAATTTCAGCTACGTTTTTTAGTAATTAAAGTGAATTAGGGGTAGAGGGAGTGAGTTAAGTCTTTGGATAATCTTCTATAAGTTTTTTGTCTTTTTTGTTGTCATCTTTTGATTATTTTTATTGGTGTTTTTATCAAAATCTAAGGTAAAATGCCAAATTCGGCCTTGCTTTTACGTATTGAAGGATAGTTTGTTCAAAATCCCGACTTGAAGTACATTAATGGTATGTGTAAGATTAAATTGGTTAAAACTAATTTTTTTTTCATTTATGCTCTTGAAACAAGTTACTAGAAATTATTGGTGGATTGATCCTCAAAAAAGATAAATTGTAGGGTGTTGAGAAATGATAATACATTAGAAACTCAATTGATATGTGTATATGATGAAGAGTCTTTTTTATATGATGACTTCCTTGAGAAAGGAATATGAAGTTTTTTTTTTTTTTTTTTAATTAATGGAGGAAGCAAATAGGTTAGTGAAACATGAGAATGAATTGATTGATCTTGAGGATAGTGGTTATAGTGTGGTCCAAGAACAAAATTTGGGGATAAATATGGATGTTGATGGCGGGAATTGTGAGGTAATAGTGGTAGTGGGCTTTTTGATGGTGTAATTTCTCGTGAAAATGAAGGTATTGCTGCAACTAATGAAAATGACAATTTAATAATATAGATTGTTGTGGGAAACATGAGCAACATGACACCTAATATAGTGTCGGACATGCTTTTAAAAGCATTGAGGTAGGACTTGCGTCGGATGATGTTAGGAGGGAAGATGGTGATAATGTTGAGGGAAATAGTAAGGGGTGGGCAATGAAGAAGGAAAAAATAATGAGTTTGGTTCAAAAGATAGTAAAGATGATAGGGATGATTCGATAGTGTACTTGGAGCTGGATGATGAGGCGGAATTAATTGATGTGACATGGTTTATAAAGAGCTAGTGGTTGCTAGGAATAACTTTATAGATTTAAAAAAATGCAGGAGTAAAAAACATATTGCTTTTATCTTTAAAGCACCCCTAATTGATACTTCACAATCAAATAGCCAAAGACCAAGAGATAATGATACTGAAAGAGGGGTAATTAGTTTAGGTTTTTATAAGTTTGATTCAAATAAAGATGAAATTCATGAATCAAGTAGTGATGATGATGGTGAAACGGATCAAGTAAGGAGAAAAAAAGTCCAAAACAATGTATTTCAATGACACCATCAAAGATCCTCGGCTTTTACTTAGCATGGCTTTTATAAACAATAAGCAAATCATTAAAGCTTTAGAAGATTATTGTGTGGCTAAAAGAAGAGAGATTGAATTTGTTAAGCATGGCGAGATAAAGAGTTAGAGCAAGATGTAGTAATTGAAAATATGAATGGGTCTCTTATATAAGATATAAAACACAAACATGTAACTTTGAACTTAAAACATATATAGATGAACATACCTATTAGGTTGCATTTAAGAATACAAGGATTAAAGTCAGGGTTATAGCAAATTACATAATAAAAAATTTGGGAGTATTGCTTTGAAAATAGATAAAAAAAAAAAAAGATGCGAAAACACAAGCTAAAGAGAAACTATGTTGTAACATAAGTCTTGACCAAGCTAGAAGAGCAAAAGAATTTATAGAGAGGCATTTTCATGGTGATGACGAGTGTTGAGTACTCAATACTATAAGATTACTTAGAAGAGTTGAAGAGGAGTAACAAAAGAAGCACCATTGAAAGCTAGTTTACCGGGACTAATAATGGGGATAATCCAGTGTTCAAGGTCTGTATACATTTATTTTGATGCACTTAAAAGAGGATTTAAGGCATAATGCATATCTATTATTGAAATGGATGGATGTTTGTTGAAAAAAAGTATAAAGGTGATATCTTAACTACTATAGGAAGAGATAAAAATAATTATATATTTTTTTTAACTTGGGATGTTATTGATGGTGAAGATTAGTACACTTGGAGATGGTTTATTGAGCACTTAATGATAGATCTGGATATAGATATTGGAAATGACAACCACTAGACGTTGATGATAGACCAATAAAAGGTAAGATTTTTACTGTCTATTGAACTTTTTAATATTATATTTTGATTTAGAGTTTGAAGTTTAAAAATGGCATTCATTGACATTTATTGACCAATATATATATATATATATATATATATATATATATATATATATATATATATATACATATATATATATATGTGGTCTTGAGAAGACAATCAAAGCGTTAATGCCATATGTAGAGTATAGAAGTTGTGTAAGACATATATTCGCTAATTAAATGAAGAAACATAAGGGTGCGAAGCTTCATGAAAAATTCTAGGCATGTGCAAGGGTTATAAACCAACTCGATTTGGTGAAAGCACTTAAGGAGATAGCATGAAAGATAAAGGATGATATGTTAAAAGTTGATATAATAGCATGGATCAAATCTTTTCTTTTTTTAGTCTCACGAGTAAGTATGATATTTTTGAAAACAACACGTGTTAAATATTTAATGACAACTTGCTTCGGGTTTCATACAAAGCAATCATTATAATGTTAGAGGAGATTAAAGTAATGGTAATGATAAGAATAACAAAAAGAAGGCAATTTGGTCGGTTTAGGTTTAAGGGAGATTATGGATTAAAAACCCGATATAAGATTGAAGAGCAAAGAGATTTGATTCATACTACTAAAATAATATGGAATGGAGATGATGGTTATGAAGTCGGTCGGTTTAGAGATAGATACCTTGTTAATTTACCTCTTAGAAAGTGTAGTTATAGACTCGTGAAATATCGGTGGAATTGCTTGTGTCCATGCCATGCGTGTACTTGGAAAGTATGAATAAAAAGCTACGAGATTATTTATCCCATTGGTATAAGAAGGAGACGCTTATGAAGTCTTATTAGTTTGATTTGCAAGTTGTTAATGGAAAGAAGTTCGGGAGGAAAAAAAAAGGCATAACCTTGTTGACCCTCCACTGCTAAGAAAGAAGGTTGGAATGAGGAACAATAAAATGGTCGGAGAGGAGTGGGAAGCAAAAAAATAGAGGGAGGAATTTATTAAGAAAAAAAATTTATGTATTGTTCCCAATACCATAAAAGAGGTTACAATTCAAGGACTTGTTCTAACAAGAAAAGAAAGGTTGTTAATTTTTTATTAATTCTGAATAATATGTGTATTAAACATTATGTGAAATAAATTCTGTTTTTTTTTGTTGCATTCCGGGATGGGTCAATAAGTATTTCAACTTCTATAACACCAATTGATACAACAAGAAACCTAATTTCAAATGATCAATTGTTAGTGCAAGAGTTACTTATAACACAAGAATCAAGAACCATAATTATTTCCTCTAAGCGTATCAATATAGGACTTCCTAGATACAAATGTGGCTTATATGTGAATCTTGATATAGGATTTTTAATTTGGAATGTAAGTTAAAGCTTGATTTGGTCTTTATATTTATTTCCAAAATTGTGTATTTTTTTTTCTTATAACTAAGTTTTTATTGTTGTTTGCATTTTGTATAACCTCGAAATATGTATTTCACAAGTTATAAATCTAGGCACTCAACCTCTAAATAAACAAAAAACTTAACAACGAGCTTAAACCAAAGAAAATGGATAGAAATTTAAGCAATCCACCTTTCAAAATAAAAAAGAAGATCGAGGAAGAATCAATGATGAATTATTGGTGTTGAGAACATTATGAAAAGTGATTGATGTTTTTATAAATGTTTTTATTGTTGATGGATCATTCTTTTATTTTGAACGGTTAATTATATATAATTGATCCATTAATTTGAATTTCAGAATGCTAATTATATGTAATAGATGATATTTGTTGTTTTTTGGTTGTTAATGGATTTAAAGTATTCTTATTTTGTCAATGAATTGTTAGTTGGATGGTTTTGGGAATTAATGAAAGAATCAAGGATGAATTTGTTTACATGATTGGTTTTGTAGAATTGTTCTTCAATTCTGTATAATTTGTTTTTTTATGCATAATTGTTCTTCAATTCTACATAATGTTTGGTTTTTGCGGAATTGATGATTTTTGGGAATTTTAGAAGATTTTTGGAAATTTTGGATGCTTTATGGGAATTTTGGATGATTTTTGAGAATTGTAGATGATTTTTGGAAATTTTGGATGATTTATGAGAATTTTGGATGAGGAATATATGCAATAAAGATCCTCTAGGAATTTTGGACTTCAAAAACCTTAATTTGCTGCATTTGACCATGCACATATTACGTAGAATTGATGTGTTTAAAAAAGTATTCTATAGAATTAATTGTTCAACATTTTTTGTTTTTCGTCTTTAACATTCAACAAAAAACTTGCAAATTCCATACATTAACGGTTAGTTTTCTTAACAATCAATATTAAATTACAATGACTTATTGAAACTAGTATATTAATATTCAATCGATACATTTGTTGCCTAACAACAACATTGTTATCCCATAAATTGCAAAAACTTACAAACTATCCTATTAAATAAAATCCATTCGACAAACCTTACAAAATTATCACAACTCATTAAACAAACCTAGTTAAAATTAACCGAATCCCAATAACATCTTACTTAACCATTAAGAAGCAAACTAACATTAGAATTATTGCAATTGAACAACCAAAATAGTGGTTACACCTAGAATTCTTCTTCTCTCTGTCTTTATTACTACCGATAGTATTTTCTCTTAAAATCGGATTTTCTCTCAATAGACGCTCATTTGTTGCAACTAGTCTCTTTTTAGTAAACTTCAAGGGATTACTTACTGCCATCTTGAAACCGAAAATAATTGTATTTTGTACTACCATCTTCGATTTGAATTTAGGGCATGTAAAAAACCTCATGTTTGGATTGTTATCATCCATGAAGTCCATCGAGGAGCCGAGAGTCTACATTTGCGGTATCACATAGGTGAATCATCAAGAGAATCATACTCGGGTTTTTGAATAAATAATGAAAAATTAATTTTCATATTAGAGGGTTTTGCATATGATGATTTATTAGAAGAAGAAGAAAACAAATTGGAAGCCATTAATTCTCTCTATCCCAATCGAAATTTGAAAAAAGATGACAATAATTGTAGAAGATTACCCAAAGACTTAACTCACTATCTCTACCCTTAATTCACTTCAATTACCCAAAAACTTAATTGGAATCTAACCCTTAAGAGACTATCTCATGAACCCTAATAAGTCTCTCCAATCTCGGTATCAATTAGGCATTGGATTTGATTTTGAAATCAAAAGCTTCTTCTCTTTTCTCTCCCCTCCTCTTTGTCTTTGTCTCTCTCCTGTTTTTAATTTTAACTTGTAATTGAAAAGGGGTAAGACAATCGACATGTTGTCATCTCACGCCTTTTCAACTACTCTTTCGACTATGTTTTCTATTTTTTTTAAATTAATTTATTTTTTAAAAATTAAATAATGATCAATCGATAGTTGATCGTTATAAATAATAGAGATTAGATAATTTGAATCACATTTGTTCAATTTTCAACACTTTAGATATTCAAATTACAATTGATACTTTGGGTCTAAAATTATCCAATTACAATACAATGGGAGCAAAAATTTACAATAAAACCGATTATTGTACTAACTTTCATTGGAATATTCCTCGCTAAAAGTTATGAGTAGTGATTGCATATCCTTTCCTTGTCTTTGCTGCAATCTGAGAACACATCCTTCGAATCATTCTCGATGGGAGACAAATCGAAAGAAAATGTAAGGGAAAAATCTAAAAAGAGTACGGAAGTTTTAAATCCAAGGAAAAAAATATTGTGGGAAAGAGACCAATAGAGGTTAATAATTTGTACCGTTTCTATAATATAAGCAATTGATTAATCAAATTTCCGTACTAATTTAAATATTAATTGAGTTTTTGTACTAAATCAATTAATTTAATATAGATCATTTGTTAGTAATTTTACTAACAAATTACATATTCAACTGACGTGTTTTTTTGACCTTGTTGTTCTTCTATTTTTTTTTTCATTCTTGTTACAAAAATCATTTATTAAAATTAAAAAAAATATGAAAAAAATTAAAGACAAGATGTAGTTTAAAAGTGACGGGAAATAAAATACTTTTTATTTTATTCTATAATTTCAATAAATATTTTCGGTAATAATAAGTGGAAAAAAAAATAAATTAAAACTATCAATAAATTCAAAACAAACGTATTGTCTGATTATAACGTCAGTAAAATTATTAGCAAAAAAATGCACATTAAACAAATTAATTTAATATAGAAATTTAATTAATATTCAAGTTAATACAAAAATACGATTAATTATTTATTTATAGTGTAAGAAGTGCATGGATCGTTGGAGCCGAAAGCCGATGAACAAACAAACCAATCGACTGAAAAACATCCAAGAATGCAAATATTCCAACCGTTGAAAATCATTTCCCGGCGAAACATCCACCGGAGATTCAAATTTGAATTCCCCATCAAACCCACAAAAAACCTTGCCTACACTCACAATCTTCAAATCCCAAACACTCAAACTCACTTTCAAAATCTCTTCTTTCAATTCAAATCTTTTCTCTTTATTCACTCACTTGAAAATTCTCACTCACTCACTGAAACACAGCAAGACCCTGATACTGTTCTAGCAATTAGAGTGCAAAACACCCTCAAGAAATATAGAGACAGCCCAGTAAGGAAGATTGAGCTTGCTATTGACCAATGCTGCCCCACGATGACACAAGACTTAGTTTTGAAGGTCCTCAAGAGGCACCGGTCTGATTGGAAACCAGCTTATATATTCTTCAATTGGGTTTCTAAAGAAGGTAAAATTTCACTTGGATCTTGTGTTTACAATGAGATTCTTGATATTCTTGGTAAAATGAGAAGGTTTGAAGAACTGACACAGGTTCTCGACGAAATGTCTGAAAGAAAGGGATTTGTTGATGAGGATACGTATAGAGTTTTGGTTAATAGATATGCAGGTGCACATATGGTGGTGGAGGCAATTGAGGCTTTTAATAAGAGGAGAGAGTTAGGTCTAGAATGTGATCTGGTTTCTTTCCAAAAGCTTTTGATGTATTTGTGTAGGTATAAACATGTAGATGCAGCGGAAACTTTGCTGCATAGCAAGGGGCATGAGTTTGGTTTCGATATAAAGACTATGAATATTGTTCTAAATGGGTGGTGTGTATTGGGAAATGTACGAGAGGCAAAGAGGTTTTGGAAAGATATAATTGCGTCTCCATGCAAGCCGGATGTATTTACTTACGGAACTTTTATAAAGGCGTTGACGAACAAGGGAAAGTTAGGGACAGCGATGAAGTTGTACGAGTCAATGTGGGAGACGGAATGCAAGCCGGATGTGGTGATTTGCAATTGTGTGATTGATGCACTTTGCTTCAAGAAGAGGGTTCCTGAAGCTTTGGCGGTTTTTGAGGAAATGAAGGAGCGAGGTTGCTTGCCTAATGTAGCGACTTACAACTCTCTCATTAAGCACATGTGCAAGATTCAGAGGATGGAGAAGGTTTATGAGCTTTTGGATGAAATGGAAGAGAAGAAAGGAAGTTGTATGCCAGATGGGATAACTTTCAATTACCTGCTCAAGTCATTGAAGAAACCTGAGGAAGTTGCTGGGGTTTTGGAGAGGATGGACAGAAATGGATGCAAGATGAATGATGATACATATAATTTGATGTTGAAGTTATATGCAGATTGGGATTGTGAGGAAAAAGTAGGATATATTTGGGAGGAGAAGGAGAAAAATGGGCTGGGACTGGATCGGCGGTCTTATACTATCATGATACACTGGCTCCATTCCAAGGGAAGGGTTGAGGATGCTTTGCAATATTTTGGCGAGATGAGAAGTAAGGGAATGGTGACAGAGCCCAGGACTGAGATATTGTTCAATTCCATGAATAAGGGGAAAGAGAATGAACCAGAAGTAGGAAAGAACAGTACAATGAATTACGGCCAATCGTCAACGTCTGTGCATAAAAGAACTACGAAGAAAAAAGTCAACTCGTCTCAGTGTTAAAGTTTTGCCATGATAATTTAATTGCCTCTGTAGCACAGAATTTTTGATTGTACAAGTCTCAGAGTGAAGGCTGGAAGATGGTGAGCTCTGCCTTTGTTTAAGGATTTTGTAGCCAGATATTAATTGTCTCTTTTGTTGCCTCATGGATAACGTTGAAAATTAAAACTACAATCACAAAAACTCTTGAATTTTAGACTGCAAAAGCTGTCGAGTTTCATTTGGTAAAAGTCCTGATGCCAAGGACCTTGCCTTACTCTGCCCAGTGACTCCTCAATCAACCTAATTTCACATTCTGAGAATTCGTACAAAGAAATCTTTTGAAGCCTTAGTCCAGCCATCTTTATTATTCATGTGCTAACACCTGCCTTTAAGTAAGTGAACTCATTACGTCACAGAGAAGTGAATTCCTGACTTATGCTAAAAAAAAATTCTCAAGCACCCATGCAAGAAGTTTCAGTTCCAAAATTCAGGGGATAATTATTTTTCTTCATGTTTTAAGTCTCAACACAGGCATATTTCTAAGCAAAGTAAATTCCTGTATAATGGTATGATAAAATACAACAGATGTATACAGATGAGCACACATAAATTTTTAATCTCAGGCTACAAAATTCACATCAAGATAGTTATTTTTCTTCAATGAAGAAGTTATTTACCAAATTCTGTATTCTTCCTCTAGTTCTTACACATCGAAATGCCAACAGAATATATTTGAAAAGTATGATGATGTCTAGGATTCACTTCCCATATTCGAGAAGAACCAAAACTATGAGGTAATGTAGATAAGTAAGCTGTTTTCAATTTTCTTTTGCTTCAGAAGACAATACAGATGAGTTAAAAATGCATCAGTGCTTAGGAATACATTTCTCAACAGCAGTAAAAATGGGATTCAATACTATAAAGGAGCAATCTAAGCAAGTGCAGAGACATGACAAGAAAAGACTACAATCAAAAGTCTGATCATTAAGGACCGCCCTTTCTCTTTCATAGGCAAACCACATCTTCTAGCATAACAACAACCCTTTACAAAATTCAGGGGAAGAAATGATATCTTAGGACAACAACCTTCATAAACTTCAGAAAAGAGGAAGATTTTTCAAGAAACAGACTTGACCATGAACTATTGACACGATTGATTCAGTCATCCTCTTCTGCTTGGTCTTGAGAACCTCCCATCGGAAACTCTGCAATCTCAGATAAGCACACATTGGTCCTGTTGAAAAGTTGTTCATTGTCATGGAATATCAATAAACATAGAACGTGAGGCAAAGAAGTTTAACCTGCGAAGACTAGTAACTCATACAGAAAATTTTTACTCTGAAGAAATGGTCTTAGAAATGTGATCATCCTTGTTTCAAGATGCAAATAACAATAGAATTTCATAACTAACCAGGAGCAGAGATGAGCTTTGCTCTTGTGATAATCGCAGCACCAACCAATGAATCATAACTACTTAAATACCTATTTTGTTGCGTGAGAAGTCAGTGATACCTACATGACTCGCATAAATGCAGGACCTACTAGATAACAATCAGAACATCTAACAGTAATCTGCAAGTAAGAAACTCTATACTACATAAGCTCCCATGAAAAGCCAAGATATCGAACTTTGAGCAAGGAAATATCTGTCATAACATATTGTGAGAAAGCAAGTCTCATCAAAATTGACACATCAAGCTCATCAACAGATGGCAAATATGCAAATTGTTTCCTTGGGTAATTAATTAAGACAACAGTATTTGTTTTGCTTATGCACACACATTCCATAGTGATCATTAATATTTTAGGAATTAGCAAAACACATATCACAATTCTAGAGTGAAATATATAACGAAGAATTACCTCAATGCCTTCACTTGTTCTCCTTCTGCAACTTTGTAGAGTGAAACAAAACTTGGATTATATGCAATGGCACGATGAATATGGAATCCATGAGTTAGACTTAGACATACTGTATTCTCATCGAACCTTTTTCTTTTTGTGTCGTAACAAACCAGGTGTATACCATTCAATGACATCATGATGTTCCCATTGCTCAAGAATATTAATGGTTCATAATAGCCGTAGTTGTCTGGATACAGGTTTTCAATCACATACTGTTTGATCCAAGACTCTTTGACACCATACTCCTTCATAACCCATATGTCAAACTGAGCACAAGTACCCAACCTCTCAACAATCACACACAAACAACCTTTTGAAACTCTCAACTTCAAGAATTCGAAAATTCTATCATATGTAAACGGTAATGTCATTTGCCTAAACTCCTCCCTTTCGAAGTCAAAAGAACATATAAACTCCAAAGTTCTTTCATGATCAAGTACCCAATGGATGCAACCACGTAGAGAAGTATTAAAATCCAGTCTTCCAATGCTGAAAGCATTTTCGATGCTTCTCCATTGTCTCGTGCCAATTGTGTATATTTCGGCCTTGCATTTAGGATCCAGAGGCTTCACCTTTGAATAAAAAGTTCGTATCACTTTGTATCGATTGGTAGCTGCACTAAATCCAAGAGCAAAATATTTGTTAAACCTTGAGGCTTTATTATTATCCACTGGGATTGTCATATGCTGACCTAAAACTGGATTGCAAACACCAATAACATCGTGGAATCTGCCTTCTGATAAGCAAAGCAATCCATTACAAGAATTCATCAACTCAAAATCTGAAGTGGGCAAGTTGACTTTTGGAACAAACTTCATTGTTTCAACCTCGAAATGGTTAGGGCTACCAGTGACATTGTCCACTATCTGGACTGAATGGGGTTCCCATGATATGCTTTCGGTGTTAAAAGTATTGATCAAGATGCTAGTGGGTGATCTTGGACGCTGGAGGTTGACAAAGAAAGGCTCTGAAAATAAGGGAAGCCAAGTTTTGGAAACGAGCATGCAGTTGAAGAGGGTCTTCATTGGCAGTCTTGACAGTATATCACTTATCAAATCATTAGAGAGATCGGTGATTTTGGTGTTTAACTCTTTCTTCCCTTTATCATCCATGGAGACGTAAAGTTTTCTTGTTTATAGAGGAACAGGAGAAGTGATCGAGTACGCAAGGCAAACTTTGATTAATCAAGAAGAGGGTTCTTGAAGTTTTGACAGTTTGCAAGAAATGAAAGGACGGGGTTGTTTACCTATTGTAGTGACTTGCAACTCTCCGGAAACGCAAGAAAAGGCCGAGGAAGCTGGTGGTGTTTGGGAGAGGAGGGATAGAAAGAGATGCAAGATATGAATGGTGATACGTGTAACTTGATGTTGAAGTAATAGTAGGCAGATTCGGTTTATGAGGAAGGAGTTGGATAAACTTGAAGGAGATTAATTAAGGAAGAAGATGGAAGGAAAGAAAGATGCAGTGGATTCTCAAGAATGGTCAAAAGGGCCGTGCATATGAGAGAGGAAGAGAAAAGTTGGACAATTTTGATTTCAGTTTTGAAGTTTGTTGAAAGATAACGAACAGAAAGCTCATGATTTTTAGACAGAGAGTGAAATCCACAAGCCTTATTCCAGCTATATTTAAGCCTACTGATTATAAAATATTCCGAACGACTGGTCCAAAGGAAAAAAGTTTTTAGCTTTTTATTTAGGCCTCCGATTTTTTTATTAATCAATCTCAAGTGATATGAGAAACATGTGAAGTCATTAAAATAATAATATGGTTATTTTATGGTTTTATCTGTTTCTCACATGAGTCCAATATGGTACAAAAATTGGTTCAGGAAACCAAAAAGCTTAATTGTAAGAAAAAAAGTTTGGAGACCCAAATTACAAAAAAAAAAAAAAAAGAGTTAGAAACTTTTTCCTTAGTGACTAATAGTTCGGAATACAAACAGTGGAAATTCTTTTTTAAACCATGTTGCTCTTGTCAATTATTTATTATTTATTAGAAAAAGAATTTATTGAAATTTAAAAAAATGATGAAAAAAAAATTAAAGTCAAGATGTAGTTTAAAAGTGGTTGGAAATAAAATGATTTAATATTTATTTATAATTTCAATAAATGTTTTTGGCAATAAAAAGTGAAAATAATAATAATTAACACCATCAATAAAAAGTTAAAACACGCCTATCGTTTAATTTATGATGTCAGCAAAATTATTAACAAAAAATTCACATAAAAAAATTAATTTAATATAAAAATTAATTTAATATTTAAGTTAATACAAAGATACCATTAATTAATTATTTGTAGTATAAGGAGGCTATGATCGTTAGAGCCGCAGCGAACGGATTAGGAAAGGGATGAAGATACGGAGAAAAATAATAGCTGAGTGGGGCCATCTGGTTAGAACCCATGCCCAGGCCCATCGAAAAATAGATTGAGACGAAATCCACAAGCCTTAGTCTAGCTATATTTGGGCTAACTCGTTATAAAATATTCCCGAACAATTGGTCAAAAGAAAAAAGTTTTTAACTTCTTTTTTTTTATTTAGGTCTGCAATTTTTTTTTTAATCTTTAATCAAGTTTTTTTGTTTCATTAATCAATCTCAAGTGATATGAGAGATAAATGAAGTCATTAAAACAAACACATGTCCAAAAAATTCTAAACATAAGACTCTTGTCGTTGTTTTATAAATTAGTTATCTTTCATATGCGTCAAATATGATATGAGATTGATTAATGAGACAAAATGACTTAATTGCAGAAAAAAGAAATTTGAAGACTCAAATCAAAAGAAAAAGGGGCAGAGACTTTTCTCTCGTTGACTAATAGTTCAAATACTTTATAACCAATTAGTTCTACATGTATTATGGATGTGTATAATATTACCTATTTACTTGGATGCATATAGAAACTAAACTCAATATTTTTGTAGGGAAAATAAATTCCTACATGATGGTTTTTTTTTTTAATTAGAAAGAGAGGTAAAATCTTGAAGATTAAAAATAGGACTTCCAAGAAAACACAACCTAACAAATATCATCTAATAAAATTACGAGTCAACCAAATAGAGCCTCGATGAGATAATGAACTTCAACCTCTAAAAAATGAGCATAATTGGCTAAC